TGGGGCAGAGCAGCCCCCCCCATAGCCCCACAGCCCGCCCCATGGCCAGCCGTGGGGTAGTGCGGTGCGTGCCCACCACAGCCCGCCGCCCCCAGGCTGCTGCGGAGCGCGGTGCGGAGCCTGGGGCCGCCGTCGAGGGACGCGGAGTCCCTGTCGCGGGAGCAGGGTAAGGACCCGCCGCCGCGGGTGGGGGGCGTCCTGTGGGGGCAGGGACGCGACCCCAGCCCCACGGCGGCCGTGCCCCACAGCCCTGCTCTACCTCTTCGCGCTGCACGACCACGACCGGAGCGGGCGGCTCGACGGGCTGGAGCTGCTGGAGCTGCTGGGCGCCGTGCTGGAGCGGCGGGATGGGGGGCGACCGGACGCCCAGGCGGTAGGTCCCGCGGGGACGGGTCCCCGTACCCCACGGAGCCCCCCCGGGGCCGGGCCGGGCCCTCACCTCGTGTCCCCCCTCCCCGTCCCCGCAGGTGGCCGCGCTGGTGGACCGGACCCTGGAGCGGCAGGACCTGAGCGGGGACGGGCTGCTCGACCCCCCCGAGCTGCTGCTGTCACCCGGCCGGGGACCCCCGGGACAGCCCCTCCTGCAGCATCCCGGGGAGCCCGGAGCGGGGGCTGCGCCCAGAGGGGATGCGGGGGGACACATGGGGAGCAGCAGCCTGGCAGAGGGGCAGGGGGTGCCTGGCGGCGGTGCCCACCCAGAGGGGGAGGCAGCCCCCCAGGCTGAAAACATGAAGGTGGAGGAAGCCCCCGAAGCTGAAGCCCCTGAGGCTGAAGGCCCCGACGGTGAAGCCATCGAGGTGGAGGAAGCCCCTGAGACTGAAACCCCAGAGGCTGGAGCCCCCGAGAGCGAGACCCCCGAGGCTGGAGCCCCCGAGGGGGAGACAGCCACAGTTTGGGGGGACCCCGGGGAGGAGTAGGAGATGGGGGGCTGTGGGCAGGGCTGTGCCAGCCCCACGGCGGCTCTGGGGGTGCGATACCCTGGCTGCTCCCTGCCCCACTCATCCATGCGCCCCCCAATCCTGTGTCGGGGCTGGGGAGGACAAGAGGGGGGGAGCTGGGATTGTGCTGTCACCCTTGTAAAGTCACCCCAAAAATACAAGTGCTGGCACTCGCCTGGGCCCTGACCAGTGCGTCCCCCGCGGGGGAGAGGGGCCGGGCACAGCTTGGGGAGGGGGCTCAGGAAGCAGCAGTGGGGCTTTATTATCAGCAGAGTTGGGGGGGTGCAGGGTGGGTACGATGTGCACAGCGAGGAGGGCGTGTCCTGGCGGGCGC